TGTGTCCCTGTTTGAAAACTTCTCCTCCATAAGAACCAACTCACCCTGAAGATGAGGCCTGAAGCTATAGCAAATTAACCTAAGTGCCTGACCACTCTAATAACGGAGCTGGCTTCTGGTCTTCAAGTTCAAAGACAGTAGCCATCCCCCAACTAATAAACCCTTCTTTCCTGGTGATCTCAGAGCTCAGCCATGGCTTGCCCAGAAGCAGAAAGCACATGAATCTCAAAACTGAGGCACTTAGGCAGGTCCCGATCTAAATTGAACTCCATTTTGAATCAAACTGCATCTTGGCCCAAAGCCTTGCTCCTGCTGCTCAAAGAGACAATTCAGCTGCTTATAAACATTAACTGCTTATAACTCCAAAATAACAAGGATCAAGATTTTTAGCCTGTGTGAGGAATTACGGTGTTTATTGAAAAATATGTGTTGATAGTGTTTGAGGCACTTGCTCCAAGAATGTCTTGGTAAACATATTCTCAGAGCCGAGGAAATGAAAATAATAATATTAAGCAGAACTGTAGCTTAACAACCACCCTGTAACTTTTTGTTTTCACACAATCCTATGTCTAAGAGCATGTAGCCCTATGTTTACACCACCTGAGAGGGCTGGGGGGAATCTGTCTCCTTGCAATTTGAAACACATAGTATCTGCCTGGGTGCTGGCACTTCTTGATTCTTGAATCTCTCCATCATTCAATAAAACGCTTTGTTTTCACTCTGACAGAGTGTAACACTGGTGCTCTCTATTAACAAACGTTCTGAATAGAAATCAAAATCAATTTGAAGCCAGCTCACTGAGAAAAATACAGGAACCTGAAAAGTGATACTGACCTATGTGAAACATTTTGAGTAGTACCACAAAATTACTTAAGATTGCCGTGAATGGTTTTCAGCTTCTAGATGAAGTATATGCAAAGCACAGGGAACTCTCCTGTCTTCAGGCTGTCTGTGTTTTCAGAGTACTACTGGTTCCCCTACAAGCTTCTGATATCCCATGAAACCACACCGGGAGAGAAAGTATGGTCGTCATGTGCATAGGTCCTTTCTGCTAGTCGAAGTCTGGTGCTACTTCCTCTCTCTGACTCCAAAGGACCACCGTTGGCATTTAAGTGCTTCATACAAACACCTTGGGTCTAACCTATGGGTTCGCAAACTTTTGAGATTAAAGAGCCAATCCTGACCCTCACAAAAATTTAAAAATTATTCAAGTCATAAATATATTTTTGAAAATAAATGAAATCACCATTATCTGAATGATAGCCTTTAAAATTTTTTCAATTTTACTTCAGATCCACATAAACATACCAAAAGAGCCGCATTCGGCTCCCACGCTGCAGTTTGCTGATACCTAGTCTCGCCAATTTAATATTTCTGTCTCAATTTGGCAATGCTCTATTTAAGTTACTGCACCCAGGTTCTAAATCAAGAACATCGCCCGTCATTTCTTCCTGCCATGTTCCAGATGCCCGAAAAACTCCGTATTCACTGCTACGCTAGTCAATGGGTTTTCGAAACTGTTCAGGGGAGTCAAAAGCCCACTCTTTCTCCTCCGGAGCCGCTGGTGGTTTTGCACTGCCGACCACGCGGCTTACAGTCCACCCACTACACCACCGGGGTGCCTCTTAGATGCTCGGAAACATCTTTTCTTTTCTCAGCTATTGGGACTTCACTTTACCGTTAAATGATGGGGGTTGATGATCTGATACAATCTTCCCTGGTCAAGAATGATCAAACTGCCGAGCAAAGGGTGCCACAGGGAAGAGTGGAGTGGAAGAGCTCAGAGTTTAACAGTAGGATTACTTGAAAAGGAACAGGGTGAGGTGGAGTAGATGGGATGTTCGGGAAATCCTCATAGGAAGATTCCATATCCGAGGGCAAGAGCCATGGTCTTGACCTGAAGGAGAGGAAAGGACTCCCAGGCAGGGGCTGTGACGTGTGCAAGAAAATGTAGCTCCTTCCCTGCAGCCCAGCCGCTCGCCCCTTCTCTTGATTTCCTGTTGGTGTCTCACGTGGACCGAATGCAAACCAGTCTAGAGGCTGAAGGAGCCTGTTCCTGTAGCCCCTGAAGGTCAGCCTCTCACAGCTGAGAGGGCAAAGCCCGGCAAGAGCCGTTCTAACGGGGCAGGCTGGAAATATCCAGCACAAGGTCATTTCCAGAAGGCCACAGTTTCTTGGTCTCCAGCCAAGTGCGGCCATTATAGTGCACCACTTCCTTCCCCAGCCAATTTCAAAGCACTGCTTACTGCTGGGAATGCATGTTTGAACAAAGCCTTTATTCTGTATTCCAACAGCAGGACTGGAATTTGAAAAGCTTCATTTTCAAGACTGGCTGCTTTTGATCTGTCTAACCTGGAACTTACATTTTTGAGTCAAACAGAATTATTTAAATAAAATATTTCTGTGATAAGCACAGAATGTTTTGATTTCTTTTTTGTCTCCCCCTCTCCAAATACCACATAAATATTCCTACTTAAAATGTATGGACTATTCTCTGGTCAAGTCAGTCTTAAAATAACAGCCACTCTCAGCTTCCACCTCCCCACGCCTGTTTCCTCAGCCTACACCATTACCTCAGTTTGCTTGTGTACAGGCCATGTGAGGGGATAATTTTATCTCAGACCCATCTGGACTATTCCATTAACAGGGCTCCCTCCTCTGACTCCTGCTTCCAGATTTGGCACAACCATAGTTTTCCACACCATCAGTTTTTTTTTCATTAATTAAACTTTATTTTTCGTCTATCTGCCCCCTGTTCTTCTATCCACAGCCTCTCTGCCTCTCTTCTAGGATACCTGTCTCTGATTTCATCTTCTGGCCTCTTCATCTAATGTTCTTCTCAGCCCCCAGCTTGCATTTACTCCTTTAAAAAATCACATTCCTTCTACCTTGACTTATCGGTTATTGAAGTAAGAATGTGAGAAGACGTCTTCCTTGGAATTAGCATACCTGCTGTGGACGCTCTCTTGGTCAGAGCAAAGCCCAGCTCCATGTAAGGTTGAAATTAAAACCTTGCCCTTACCTACTGGTCACTGAAAACCAATCTGAAATGGAAGAGTTACATTTTTTTTTTTTAAACCGTGAAAGTCTATACCCAGAGATTCACAAGGCACTGTAGTAGAAACACAAAACTCTGGCCTAGTTGCGGTCCATATAGTCTGGCCCAGAAGTGTGTTCCGTACAATGAGATAATAAATAAAAATACGATGGAAATCCTCCTGGAAGAAGTTTCTAGTAAAATTAATCTACGTGAATACAGGAAGCCTAGATGGAGAAGAGCTAGTAAAATGCATCCATGGCGGGAAGGAGAGGAAGCAGACTCACTAAAATGCCTCGGTGATTTCACTTTTTCTCCGCTTGAGCATCTGGAGCAGAATCCTGATTTCAGAGCCAACGAGAAACAGGTCTTTGGGATAGTATTGAATTTAATCGTAGAATTCTCCAATCCCAAAAGATGGCGTCACTGTGAAAAGTTCATTGTAGGGAACATCTTGGATGTAGGGGAGAGTCGTTTTCAGGCCCGAGAAAGGGGCAGAATCACTGCTTCTTGACTCAGTTGAACTTTCTCTCACGCTCCAGGTCCTGCGCCCCAAGTGAGGGCTCTTCCCCCCCACAGGGGAGAAGCCCGGCTCTCACCTTTGCCTCCTGGATGGTGTCAGCGAAGGGGGTACTCGCCTCTGCTTCAGGGATGAGGCCAGGCTTCTCGTCAGGCAAACAGACATCTGACTCAAGCCCGAGAGAACGCTGGCAGCGGAGACAAAGCAGAGCATTTCAAATAACTTGACGGGGCTGGGCGTAATCATCAGGAAGCGGGAAAACTTTGAGAATGTGTTGTCAACTCCAGTTTTAAAATAAACAATCTAGACTAGATGTGCTTTGGCTGGCAGGCTTCCCCAAGGGAACCATATTGGAGGCAAACCCCTCAACCCAGGGCAGCACCCGGCAGTGCCATCTTTGACCGGTTCAGAACGACAGCAATGTCTTCTAAATTAAATACAAGTAAAGAAGCACACCCTTTACCTGTAGTCACGGAGTGGATTTATATGTAATGGGTACACACTCAGCTTGCCGGGTGGGAGGCCTCCCTGACAATCCTATGAGGGTTTGGAATGAAATGAAGTTACTGCTTTAGAAAAGATAAAGCGACTGTAAATTGCTTCCTTAGGAATTGTTTGGGAGGACAATAGGAAGCATTTACTTACCGAGTTTGACCTCGAATGACAAAACCATTGGCCCAGGTGTAAAGGCATCTCTCACCCTCAGGTCCGGATGCCCTTCCCATGCAGGCAGCCTCAGGGCCGTCCTGAAGAGGCAGCGCCCCCACTGAGAGTGTCCACGAGCCTCCCAGAGGTGCGTGACATTCACCTCCTGTCCACATAAAGACTCACTTGCACCAACAACATCTGTCCTTTATTGATTCAATCAACACATTGGAAATTTAGCAGCAAGTTAATAATGAGTAGTTACCAAAATCTACTTTTACATGTTTAAAATAAGTTCTCTAAAGCAATCTATGGCAACCTAAAATCACAAGAACACATGTGAATGATGGAAATACTTTTAGTATAACGCCTATGGCAAGTGTATTAGCAATTTCCTAACAAAGTCTTCTAGTGCAAATGCACACAATTCTCTGGAACCTCCTAATATTACCATATTTGGCCTCTCATTTCCCGCTATAAGTAATTATGACTAAATGTAAAAATGTGAATGGATACTGAACAGGTATGCCCCAAACCTTCCCACGAGGCCCTGCTGACTTAGGGGCTATGCTCATCTATACAACCCTTGTAGACATCTCGAGTTGAGTTGATTTGAACCACAGCTCATTTCAAGCCTACCAATGGCTGTCCTTGAACCCCAGAGGTGGGTCATGCTGCTTTGCGATAACTAGCTTCCATTTTAAACTGACGCAAACCCATGACGGGGCTCAGCAGAGCCAGAAGGCTACGAGCTCAGCATAGGCATATCCTCCCCACCCCCCACCCCCACCGTCCTCATTTTAGCACTAGAAAGAGCAGTCTTGTTCTTGCACTGTTCCGTGTGGGAGGTGATCTCATCATTTCTTTTTGGCTCTAGGCAGGCCCATGGATTTAGTAGTGAACTTGGTTTTCATTGGTTGGTTTGATGTTTCAGGAGTTTTCTCTAGTTCCTCCTTGAGTCTAACTGGAATGAGTTTTCTAGAAGTGCCACCTGGAGACACGGTGCCTAAAATATCCGTATTTGCTCTCATACTTGTCACAGGATGATCCTTTCCTTGATCAATGAGCTAGAAAGAAAAGATAGCCTGATGAGTAGTCAGACATAAAGCAACCCAGCAATTTAAAGAAGCAAGAAACCACCAAGTTGTCTAAGATTTTCAAGTTGGAACCCCCTCCAGATAGGCTGGGCATAAACTAGCCACAGTGTAAAATTATGACTTGACGCCAAAGAAAGTTCCTGGAACACACACAAGAAAACGGAATGGTTTGCTGTTTGATGGAGGACACGCTGTTTAGGTTCTGCTTCAAATCCTCTGCCGTGTAAGACAGAAGTAAATATCAGGTAACATTTGCACAGAAAGTCCACTTGCACTTAATGGTCCTCACCTCATTTAATCTTGACAAGTGCCTAGACAAGCTTTGGCATTTATACAATTACCTGGACAAGTACAGCATGATCATTCTTTCTAATCTGGGTATGGAGTTGCTGCATGTGGCCCCCCCACCCCTGGTACATTCTCCCGGGGGTGCCCTGGTGGCATAGTGGTCATGGGTTCATCTGCTAACTACAAGGCCAGCAATGTAAAACCACCAGCTGCTCTGCGGAGAAAGACGAGGCTTTCTACTCCCACAAAGAGTTAGTCTTGGAAACCCACAGAGGCAGTCCTTCAGGGTCGCAATGAGTCAGAATTGCCGCCATGGCAGTGGGGTTTGGTCTGGGTACATTCTCACAGTGACCTTTACACTAGTTCCAGGACTGGCTTCCTCATCTCAGTCCCACCGCTGGGGGAGCTCTGTGACTTCCCTGCATCTGGGGTCCTCACTACTAAGGGGGAAACAGCATCTGTGCTGACTGCCTAAACAGGTTAGGAGGATGGAAGCCATGGCCGCGAAGGTACGGCGAGAGCCTCACAGCACAAAGGAAGTCAAACGGACTGAGAGGCCAGTGTGTTCCCGGGTCATCTCACCTCACAGGAGAGGAAACGCGACCTAACCCTGCTGTCGGGAGGGACACGGTGACGGTGACCGCCCACTTTGACCTAAGATCCATTTTTCAAGGCATCTCTAACTTAAATGAAGCTGAGCAGAGGATTCTAAAAGCAGAGAATGCCTCAAGAAAACCATGCGAGCAGGCTCAGGGCTGAGCATCAGTGAGCTCTCATTTAGATCGTGAAACACACAGTTCACTATCTTTAAAGAAAATGAATGGATTTCATGTAAAACCCAAACCAAACTTCCTGTCAGCGTCCATCCTGACTCTCAGCCACCTATCGGGTAGAACGGCTCAACACAGAATCTTCTAGGCCATGTAGCACATAGCAAATGAACATGATGTTGCTCTGCCCATTCAAGCCCTTGTTGATAACAGTGATCACGGTTCATACTGAGTTGCAGAAACCTAAAAGCTCTGGTTGCACAGTGGTGAAAGCATTCTGCTGCAAAACCCTGGTCACTCCATAGAAGAAGCTGTGCTGCCTCGGAGACCCTCTGAGGCACCGCTGCTCTGTTTCACATGGTGTTGCAATCAATTTGACAGCAGTGTCTGTCTGTGTGGGGTGGGGAGGGGGGTGATTCTGGAGTAGAAACCTAGCATATATTGGTTTAATGAATAAATACAGGCCATGTAGACTTCATGGTGCCTGTCCTACAAGAGAGAACTTACCTGATGTTTGTTTGCAGACAACCCTTAAATATGTCCCTCTTCACAAAATTACATGTGTGATTTATAACTGTGCATGCTAGTTTCTGAGTTGGTAAATATTTTTAAATCATTTTACATAAATTTTGAAACGTAAAAATGTTTTCTCTATGCATTTTTCTGACTTGCTTCTCCGGGTTCTCTTTTAAGAAATAGAAAACACTTACACTCCTTCAGCACTCCATGATCTGGCGGCACTCACTCGTTAAGGATGACAGAGGCTGAGGAGACAACCCCCCTTAGGTCTGTGAGTGGCTCCCTGACGGTAAACTGCTTTCTGTGGTACAGTAGCACTGATCTCGAAGACATAACTTATCTCGGAAATTTCAATTCATAAAAATTCAGTTCATTTTCTATCCAAATCCTGTTAAAAGCTAGGTGTGAACGCAGCCCTTGCTCCTTTGACATTTCCACCAAGTAGTGGAAAAGATGAGGCTCTCTACTCCTGTAACGAGTCACCGTTTGGGAGCCCCCTGGGGCAGTTCTCCCCTGCCCTAGAAGTTTGCCACGAGTTGGAACTGCCTTAAGGGCAGGAGTTTGAGTGGAGCGCATGCTTTCAACATGTCCACTGTACCCAATATTCATAGAATGAAAATAGAGATTCCGTTGCTTCATTTTTAATGAGCTCATGTTCGTACATTTCCATTCTTTTTCACTGTTCCATTTTTAATATACCTGAATCATTAGTAGACTTAGAAGAAGGAGATATTTGGGAACGGTCTCGGTACACAATATTATGTATTTTTCTTTTTTTTTTTCAAAAAGACTAGAGAATTTGTATTTTCTTTTTGTGAATAAGATATTTTAAAGTAATGCTCAGAATTTTCAGGCATATTGGAAGGGAAAAGAAACTACACAAAGACATTTGGCTGTTTCGGTGTAGAAAGATGACATTTCATTCTATAGCTATATATATATATATATTCCTCTAACCATGTGCATTGCTCTCTATATGGTTTAACAGGTACTAGACAGATCCTGATGTGGTCATATTCACAATGTACACAAGCTCACCCCTCCCCTTTCTGGTTGTAGCTGGTGCTGTCCAATCGGTTCTGACTCGTGTGAATGGAGACACAACAGACGTACACACGGGCTGTGCCAGGCCACACTCAGGCGTGATTAGGTGAGGGCCCATCTTGCTGGGGTCTTCTGCTGGTTGACCGGCCCTTTCCCAAGCATGCTGTCCTTTTCCTGGAGTTGGTCTCTGCTGATAACATGTCCAGAGCATGTGAGACAAAGTCTTGCCATTCTCGCTTCTACGAAGCATTCTGGCTGTACTTCTTCCAAGAGACATGTTTATTTCTCTGGCAGTCCTTGGTCTCTTGGACCAATATTTTTTGTCAACACCTGAGTTAGTTTATTGTGCCAACCTGGCTGATAAACACATGTGGGATTAATTGAAGGGTGGAGAGAAAAATGGCTCGGTGAGCCTCGCCTCTCTTGTCTCTTGCTCTTTGATCATTGGACCAATGTGCGGCTGCCTTGCTTGTTCTGTGCAAGCTACACTACCTGTGGGACACCTAACCCATGGACTGCGTCGCTGTAATTAGAGGTTCCTTCAAGACCTGCTTCACCACACCATTGGAATGTACATCTCTTGAGCTGGGGACTGTTGGACCCTGTCATCTGGCTGACTGTTGGTGACCTGCCTTGCTGTTTGCTGCCTGTGCCCGGATAGCCTGAATTGCTCTACAAAGGAATACCCGGCAGCCCTCAAGACTTGAAGGACTGCCAGTGTCTCACAAATGTCTCAAGGGAGTGAGTTGCACTGAGCCATTTGTACTGTTTAATAATTTAATTAACTGTTTATTTCTTACTTTATCAATCTATCTGTATAAATATATATAAAATTATTAGCGTTCTGTTTTTGTTTTTCTAGAGAACCCTGTCTAACACAACACCTTTAATCAAATGCATCAATTCTTACTTGATCTTTCTTATTCACTCTCCAGCTTTTTACATGCACATTAAGCAACTGAAAGTAGTTGTGGCTTAGGTCACGTGGACCTTAGTCCGCAAAGTGACATCCTTGCTTTTTAACACTTCAAAGCGCTCATGTTCAACAGATCTGCCCAATAATATGTTTTTTTATTTCTTGATTGCTGCTTCCGTGAGTGTTAACTGTGGAACCAAGTAAAATGAAGTCCTTGACCACTTCAATCTTTTCTCCATTTATCATGACGTATATAGGCTCAGGTGCCCTCCTTTCCCCTATACTCACCACTCACAACAATCCATACTGTCGATTTAAAGCCTGCACTTCTAGAGATACTTTACTTTTGTAGGCCCCAAACAGTCCAATTGTAGCAATTTTATATAGTTTGACTTAATCTCTCAAAGCACTTTCTGCCCCCATTTTTATACAAATAGTAGCCCACTGTAAGCACTCTTTAGGAGCCCCAGTGGCATAGTGGGCTACATGTTGAGCTGCTAACCACAAGGTCAGCAGTTCAAACCACCAAATGCACCACAAGAGAATGATGGGGCTTTCTACTCCCCTAAAGATTTACAGTCTTGGAAACCCATAAGGGCAGTTCTACTCTGCCCTACTGGGGCACCAGGAGTCAAAACCGACTTGATGGAAGTGAATTTCTTTCTTTTTTAGCAATCACACTTTACATCTAGATTTTTTTCCCCAATGAACAGCTATCTTGAAGATCATTACATGTCAGTGCATCAAAAGAGCCCCTGTCTCTCTTGGGACGCTGTACCACTCTTCTATGTGATATACTGTAACATCCAACCAGCCAGCCTTATCACAATGGCCACTTGGGTCATTTCCAACCTTTTACTTGTACATATAATGCTACCAAGAATAATTTTGTTCTTGCAGCATTTTGAACATATATGTGTCTTTATGCAAATGTTCATATATGTACATTTAGAGGAAGAACTCTTGGGCACATGGAATTATAATTTTGAAAGATATTGTTATATTGCCCTCCATACGGTTCTACCAATTTATACTTCTAACACACACACACACACACACACACACACACACACACACACGAACTATTCGAGTCGATTCTGACTCAAAGCCACCCAGAGTAGAACTGTCCCTTTGGGTTTCTGAGACTAAATCCTGATAAAAGCAGAAAGTCTTATTTCTTTCCCACAAGCACATGGTGGGTTTGAATCGCTGGCCTTGCAGTTAGCATCCCAGCGTGTCACCCCCTTCTAGCAGCAACAAATTAAAGTGTATGTTTCTTATTTCTCTGTCAATTTGGTGTTTAATATGTGTTAAATCCTCAACCACATTTTTCTTGAACCCCACAGTTGACCTAAAACTGCACTGAAATAAATGACAGTATTTGCTTCTTTCATTTCCTGGTAACATCAATGCAAACCTACTTCCCTTTTCAA